GTTGATATTTCAGTGCCTAAAAGTACTTAACTGTTCAGAAATATCAGAGTGAACAGTGTGATTTACTGGCTGATTTTAAATATTCATTGACTGATTCTAGCACTTACTCAAATCTGTTACCCTTCATGGATCATAGGCCGCCGTCCAGTAATCCTACAGTAATTATATCCTGGATTCTCCTTTCTAGGTAGTATTTTATTCCAGTAAGCTTTAACAGACCAGATTTCTCCCATCACGATTAAAAAAAATATAACCCCATTGAACTAATTAGAATCATCCAGACATTTATTGATCAACTAGTATGCTAACTATTCTATGGGAATGAACTGTGATCCTACAACCGAGCACACCAAATTCAACACTTAGCTTGACAGACCCCTTTTGTGTAAAACAGTCATTAACGCATTAGTCATCCAAATCAATACATTTTTAGTTCAAATACTTCTCATTGTCTCTGTTGCATTGATATTTTTAAAACCCATTCCAATTCTTGGACTTTACCAATGAGGAATGAGACAAAGCCCATGGTTCAATTGAGACCATTTTTGCCACTCAGTTTCACTGTCTCACTAATTTTCTCTCTTCCCACTAGATTTGTGTTTGTCTGTCTACAATTGTACATCAAACAATGAAAACACCACTCGTTTTATCATGTCAATAAAAAAAGAGTGAGTTGACTTAGCTAGATCAGTCTATCCTTTAACTAATCATGCCCCCTACTCAATCTTCGTTTTATTTTGTTAAATTTTCTAAAGTTCTACCCTTATTCATATTTGAATCTAACTAAGCAGAATTAATCATATGACCATATGGTATTAATATCTCAATAGTGAGCTCTCAAAGAAATATATATTCTTTATAAATTTAAGAAGACGTAAAATTTTATATAGGTAGACAGCTGTTTAAGCAGTAGAAGACTAGTGGAGTATATTGAATAGCTAATTATATCGATATGGATTCAATATTTTACTTTTTCTATGAGAACAGGCTGACGTTACAATGGTGAATGACTAACAACGTCAATCTTTTAGAGATTTAACTGCAGAAATAATAAATGCTGTTCTGGCTCGCTTGCAAGAGTTTCATTAGTGTTCTTTGTTTTGCCTGTTCATCATTCAACTGATTTAATTACATAATAAATAAATTTGATTGATTATTTTACAAATTGTGAGTAAAGTCGCTCAACTATTCACATTTTACAGCAAGTGGTATATGAAATGTTTAGCAAACGAATTCTTCTCGCAGAACTCTATACACGTACCGTCTAATGTCACAGTTAGTGACGTTGTACGAAGTTATTCAAAATGAGATTAATCCTCTCGAACCCAAGTGCCCATTCGTTTCAATGTAACTTCAGTGGAATTAGATTGTATTATTGATGTATTCATTGTTATTTAAAATATTTGAAATTTTTGGTTAAGCATATTGATTTTTATGCACCAGAAAAAGACAACGATGATAATTCAAGAAAAACTGAATCATTTCACTGTTCATATGCAAGTTTTTGACCTATCCACTGGGGTTCTATTGATCGAAGGATTTAGTGAAGCAAAAAAGGATGCCTAATAAAACATCATGTTAAAACATTTATTATTAAGATAGTAGAACTGAGTCACATCTAAGGTGTATATCTTGATCATAATTGAATTCGTTTGTTAAGTCTCATCACTTAAATATCCATTCACAAGCTTAATAACTCAAAGGTGATTTCTTTGACTATGATTCACAGTGATATCAGTTTGAGTATATAGGGGAAAATACTAGTCTGGAATTTGCATATATACTGTTGATTTATTTCTTAGTCTGTAGTTCTACGTTGCTTGATTGATATTGAGTGTATATGCCTTACTGATGCAATAATAACATACATGACACTTTAGTCATACAATTCTCATTAATCACTTCCAATATTTTCTTCAGTTAGTTGAAAAATCTGGTATCTTCATTGCTTCATGAGTGTTCTCAAAGAATACTCGTAATGTTTAAAATTAATCAACTTTGAATAATTTCAAGATAAGAATACAGTCAGTCAGTCAGTCAGTTGCAACGTAGAACTTTGTACGTATGTACATAAGTTCAGGTTGCCATACCACCATACCATGTCAAATCAAATCCCACAGTGATAAAGATAGTAGAGGTATTAATGGTAATGAAGAAGACTAGGGTTTGAAGATATTATTCAAGAAGCATAATCCAGTGAAATAAGGTTACAAAGAGAAAGGTAGAGGTGCTGATGAATCCAGAAGATTAGAATTTCAGAGAGCAGAATGAATGGATGCACTTGCGCCATTGCAAACGATTTTGAGCCATGTTGTTCAAGGTCTCTAACCATCGGTGACTTTCGTCTCGCGGACCCCAACCAGGTAGTCGACAACTACCGACATGACTCTGTCCACTTGTCAGTGACTTCATGGATTTGTGCCATGTTTTCGTTTGGCCGCCCCTAGCTTTCTTCCAACCTATTCCTACACCACAAAACATAGCTCGTCGAGGCAGTCGAAGGTTAGGCACACGTAACACATGTCCTAAACACCTCAACTGATCAAGTTTCATTACTTCATCTATTGATCTGCCATCCTTACCTAGTACTCACTTCCTAACGACAGCATTGCTTACTCAGTTGTCCCACGATATACGAACAATGCTTCGGAGACATCTATGGTCAAAGACAAGTAACCTACGTACATCTTCTATTCTTAAGGGAGCGAAATGCTGCGCAGTACACCCGTCCTTTGGTTAGCGAACGGATATCTCGCCTACGCCATAAACGGCGTAAATTGGCAAAAGCAAATCGAGCTTTCAATCAGAATAACATTTAAGTTTATTCGTCCATTGTTTTCATCCACAGTTATTTTGTAATCAGGTTCCTTGGTGTCAGTGGGAAAATATCGCACTTTGGAATTAATTGACTACATAAGTGCCAGCTTCCGTCTAAAACTTTAAGAAATGTATCTCAATGATGTTGAATTCTTTTGAAAAATATTGTTATACTACTTAATGAAATTTCTGAAAAGGTACTTACATGTTTAATTTTTGAGGATACATTTCCTCCTATATGGTTAGTCCAAGTCTTAGTAAGTACACATAAATGACGAATTCAATGTCAAAAAACCCATGCTAACCTCAGATATATATATATATATATATATGGTATTTTAGTGCCTCTAAAGTACATACAAATTCAAATTTTATGATAATCATTAACAAGTTTTTTCTTGCATCGCATCTAGTTAGAACGTAAACTGTTAACAATATTACTCACCTCATAAAATCATGTTGACACTTAAAACGTCACATGTACGTAAAACAAAATACTGTGTATAGAATAATTATTTTTTTCCATATTTTTTTAACAGTTCCTGTTTATTTTATTCTACAAAAAAAAATATGAAAAAAAAACAACTAATTATTTATTTGATTTAGAAAACCTAAGCTGAATAGAATAAATTTTCAAAAAAATGCTAATCATGATGAACAGTTAATAGTAGACATGTGTTTCAAATATCTAATGTATTCTTTGATAGGTCATATTGTCAATAAAATAATGTTGTGTCATAATCATGATGATAATAATAGGCCGAGAAACAAAATTCATGGCGTAATAAAATGTGCAATACAATACTTTCTTAATGTAGCACAATTCACTGATTAACACAAGTAGTTTATTTCACTAAGCTATTTCATGTATACCTTTTCAAATATACATACATTGTTTATTATATTGGTCATAGTTGAAATCTCATTCTACTCACTATACAAGTAGATTTTTGTGTTTATATACTTGGAAGTTACTTTATGCGTATAACATCATCATGTACTACAGTAGATAAGGCAATAATTATCATTATTAATGTGATAGTACTTGTATGATAGGAATGAAATACTGAGTTATTGACTGCTACATATCACATCAACTAAAAACTTACAACCGAATACAACATAAACACAATTCGATCATAATGCGAATATAATGATTTGGGATCCATGAGACAATTATTAAGTTCGGTAACCTCAGTCATTCTGGCATTATTTCAAATCAAGTTCATCATCTTAAAGCTTAGTTTACGCACAGATATGTATAGCCACAAATATATTTGTATAACGGTTTGCTATGTAATCCAGGATACATGTTGCATTTCATTTAGAACTACTTAGATAGATGTACCAATCAAAATAGGATTGGCTTGTAAATGTAGACAGTATTGAGAATTCCCTAGAGAAGCTAATGGACTAAAAAAATTTAAATAATCCTACCCTGAATATCAACAGCGAGAAAAAAAAACGTGTCTGAAATATCTGTCAGAAATGACAATCGCTTCTAAGGCATATATATTATTGATATGATCTAGTATGTTTACAGAATTACTACTCAATGGATGTGATCTACTCAATGATTCATCGTGCCAACACACAGATTGCTAGTGTACACAAAAATGAAACAGTGGATTTAGGTATAGAGAAAAACTTGTGGTAGAAGAGTGGAAGACGTTTAAGTTAAAACAAAAGGGCTACAAATTGGGCTTCGTTTATTGGTAGATGTAAGTCACTGAAATGTGTGTCTTGATCACGATCATATGCAAATGGATGATCTGTCTGTTAAAATATGAAATTATTTCCATGCCATACATTCACATTAATATCTGTGTGTCTATGTAAGTTTGCCTCAATGAATTTCCTACCACCTTTTTTATCCCATGCATGAGCAGATCTCATAAGACCATAGAGGTCAGTAAGACAGGGTGGTAGGGGTTACGGAATCATAGAAAATCATAGATAGGTAGGATGATGAATCAGCTGCTTTACTCGGTTTGTTCAGACCACTTATCCAATTGCTTACTCATTCGTTGTATTCTGTCCCACACGGTCTGGTAGAAAAAAGGACTCATCTTACCTCCCGTTCAATTTTGTTAAATAAAAGCTTGCGATCTGGAATTTCAGATCCTACTTTGTTCAACCAGTAGATTAGAATTTTAAGTGAGCAGTGGATATATTTATTTCAAATGACTTCTGATTCATTAAGAAGGAATCCACTAAGTGAAAAACAACATCAAATTATTGCAGATGTCGTTTGCCGTGGACTGAAATTTGACGATGTACATTATACCACTTTTGAGAATTCATCAAACAAAGAAAGTTCTCCTAATTCTACTGATACACAGAAAGATCGCTGTACAACCGATTCAATTTATCCTCTTACCAACAGTGTTACTTGTGCAATGCAATCAACATCACCAGCTAGATCAATATTTTTACCTGTAAACCAAACTAATTCGAATATGTCAAATATCTATGGTGGAGGTTTTCGTTACCATGTTCGTCGACCTGTGGAATCATGGAAATTTTTCGAGGTATATGTACTTTTTGAAATGTAGACTCAGTCTGATTGTTGTGTAATTCCTTATTTTTTTTAAAATTCTATTTTAAATGCTATGATATTTTGTTTATTTGTTCAATATTACAAAGTAATTCGATGGGGGTTATTACTGTTATATGAAGTTTGTTAGGGACAGTGGTGCATTTATCATTGCAAAATTATTTATTGACTGATACAATCGTTCCCAAAGAAATTGGCAAAATTTTAAATTTATACTGTTCCCGTCGGATAATATTAGTTTATTTTATTAGGTTGAATTATATTTCTGCTTAATTATTCAATTGTTTTAAGTTATAAGTCTGGGTATTAGTGTATCCTAATAGTTTTTGCAGCAACTTATCAGTTTGTAATAATATCCAAACCTATGTCATTCAATAAAAGTCTGAGCAGTGAATTACACACAATCACATTAATTATCTAAAGACTAGAAAATTTAATTGTATAAAAAAAAATGTAAGTGAAATTTAATGAATTATTTTAATGGAAATTGCTGGCAGTGTTGGAGGAGGAGGTCATGGAGAGTAGAGAAAATAAAAAGCATAAACAGTTTCTTGTTTATATTTATGTATGAAATGTAATGAATTAAAAGAGAAGCACCGATATTGACAAATGAAAAATTTAGGATTCATTAAGGGATTCATTAGAGTTGCTTTTTATTTGTGTAGAGAAGCAATAAGTTTATTGAAAGTAGTTTATTTCAATTTCAAAGATTCAATAATATGTTTGCAATAATCAATCTCAATGTTTTGGACGAACTTTTATTTACACATAAACCTTATACAAAATGTCTCACTTTAAATACAATGTTTTTTCTAGTTATTTTGTCTCTCAGTTATCTGTTTATTGCTTCATCACCAAGTTTGTAATTCAGGTTGATTATTAGATCCCTATTTCTAGATCCTACTTCATTAAATACAATAATGTTCATTTTAATAGTACCGACAGTGCCTATTAGGTCTCTGTTAAAAAAGGGAATGAACACTTTTAAACTTGATTAGGTAACTAGCTAACAGTAATTTATCGAATTTTTCACTTATTAATCGAGTGAACTAAGTATTCCTGATGATTCATTTTTTTCGCACCTGAAATCTCGAATTGATCTTGGCCAGATCACCATTAAAAACCTGGAAGCACTGAAAGTTCGTTTTGTCCTAGTAAGAGACTCCTTAGCCGTGCACATTCACAACCCTACCTTTGGCAGTCGAACCTAGAATTTTCAGTTTCGCGCACAAGCGTTTAACCTCTAGACCACTGACTCACTCTTTATTCTGAATCCCATCGGTTTAATTACACAATAAATATATTTTAGATCAATGTTTTATTCTCGTTTGATTTGATTTTCTCCTTTTAAACTTCATGACTCAACGGTTTCGTGGCTAAAACACTCGACTTTGAATCTATCATGGCTTCGAATACCAATCCATTCACATTGGTTTACTCAGATAAGCAAAAGTCAAACCAAATCCCACAAAATGGTTAGAAGTCTAGTGCAAAAATTTGTATTGACTAACCGAATTGTATTATTGATTTATTATTATTAACAGTGATGTTCCTAGAATTTTATATGGGATATTTTTTAAATTATGTATCTACAAAACAACATAGTTTATTAATGTAAGTTACTAGAAAAATTTGGTTGAATTATTTATTTAGAGATTTTGAATTCATTTTGATGTAGGGAATTTTGATAAATTAAGAAAAAACATTTTTAGCTAAGTAATATCAGTTAGCGTAACTTGCCTAGTAGAAATTTGTATCCCATACTCTTAATGAGATGATGATTCGGTGGCTTATTGTTAAGAATTAAAGGCTTTCAGTTATTTAGTCTCAGGTTCAAACCACTTGGTTATTTCTACAACTCAGTAGTATCATTAAACCACATCAAAGTGTAGGGCTAGTTCTTTTTTAATACATCTTTGGAGCAGATATTTGTCTCATATTTGTCTCATTCTACTCTTATGTATCAACAGATTTTGCCAATGAATCCACATATATCAACAATGACTGGGTTTTCTTTTAATTCGCGAAAACAACAATTACTACCCACTACAAAACGTATAAGTTTCATAGCCTATTAACTCTAGTATTTGAAGTGATGGCCGTTGAATCCAAATTTGAACTAAGAAATTTGAGAAATGATTAGAATTCTACGCTGAGCTCCATCAAACGCTATCAGGATGCTACTTTTTCTACCTGAACATGATTTTTGGTGATCTTGTGGTTCAGCTTGATCTCATTTATAAAAACCAATCTATGAAGTAACTGAAGGAGTATTTTATGTATCTAAAGCACCTGAAATAGTGTTAAAAATTAGAATTACTAGTTGACATATGGCTTCTACTGTAACCATACAAAAAAGACTACATTCGATTGGTCAAGTCTCACAGGTAATCTGGGATTCATATTAAAGCGATCTGTGCTGAAACTGTTTTGCTCATAAATATCATGTGATGTGAAGATATATTCAATTTATCCGATCAGTATAATATGTAGTTTTAAAGTCAGAATACTCATAAATGTGAATAGATTTTTACTGTAATAAAGGCATAACTATTATCTATGCATATGGTTTATCATGGAATTTTGTGTATATCATCGAGTAGTGTTGTGGATTGATGATTGATCGTACATTTAATTGTTTAATCGGAAGCGAAAGTTCCAGCTAGTGCATTGGTGTTTGAGGAGAATCATTCCTTTCCCATATTTTATACAAGTGGGATGTCTAGCGTTTTCCAGCATATGTATGTTCCTTTGATGTGTGAGCACACCATATTATCCTAATTTTCACTGGGGACTCCATTTTAGTTGTCTAAACTAGTATAGTTCTATGAATACGGCATCACAAAGCATTTCGACTTATCGGCTAAAAAAAGCAAGGTGAAAGTCAGAGTTTGATATGAAATCACTGATGCTCTTATATGTAGCATTTACTTACTAACTGCATGGAAACGTGCTAGATATTGTACATATATTAACCAGCGAGAGGCAGATGCACTACAGAATCACGGACATATAACCTATCCCCTTTCATATGCTCAAGATGATTTGAAGTCGTCTTTTTCAATGTGATATTAAGTGCAATCAACATGTAATGACATGCACATAACCTAGTGAAATGGTATTTTTATAACAGAGTAATTTATGGGCATCGGCTTATGTTAGTAAATCGATTGTATGTATATACCTATTCTAACTGGTGATAGATATCGAAGCAAAAACGGTGATAACGTTGAATTTTAAAAAATCTTTTTTTTCTACAGTATGGAAGGGCAATTTCTTTTACACACTCTCACATTTCGACATATTGTAGACTCATTATTCTCTTTTAATTCTGCTTAATTTAAGCAATCCTACATTGCCTTGAGGATTTTGACCCTTGACCTACAAACAATTTTTCACTATCCCACATCTTTTCAAATGTGTAATTATAAACCAGCATAATTCATTGAAGTCATCAAAGTGAGAAGGGAAAATTGATAAAAGTTAAACCTTTTTATCGTTTCATGTTACAATGAATTAATTTCAAATCAGTAACAACTGACTATTAATGATTGTGAAACATACTTAATTAGTGATTAACAGAATTTAGTCATCTTCAGTTTCGTTAGGCAACTTTGTCACTAAATGAATGTAAAAATCATAGAAATGGAAATCAGAATTTATCGGATTCAATTCTCACAATTTGTTCTCTCAAGTAGAATGAAAGTGTAGAATGTGCTGAAAGAAAAATTACACTTTCAGCAGAACAATATAATGATTAATTTGAACAGTTTTCTAAAATAAAAAATCATACATGGAATTATCTAATTACTTAATACAATTTCTCCTTTGTATCAATTTTAATAAAGTACAACGATTGCAGCAGAATACTATGTGAAGTCATTCATGTTACCTAGAGATACAATAATATTCACTACTTAAAAACAAAATAATGTGTTGGGAAAAGTTTTGATTAAAATTGAATCTGACACATATAGATGTAGACTAATAAAAAGATAATAACTGTGAAATAATTAAAATACATTTGTCTAAACAGTTGTTTATTGATAATTTTTTCTAATCTCATTTTAATTAAGTCTTTTCTTGTATTATTATTATTATTATTATTATTATTATTATAGTATATCGTTTAGCTTATAAATTATTAATACTATTGTTTCTAGCTTGTTAGCAGATGACAAGAATCAGTGTAGTAGAAAAATTTATTCTGCAATAATTGTTATACTTTCATTATTTAAAATTGTTCAAGCTTTAGAGAGAAGTAGGTGATAACTACTAGGATGATTGTCAGTTAGTAAACATTTTGTTTAAACAAGATTTAATTAAATTATTCATTGTAAGGACTTACATTTTTTTTTGTATATTGATGTTTTCCATAAGTGAATTGTTCATTTTTGTTTGATCTCATAAAAAAAGATGAATTAGCTTAGTATACATTTATTAATTTACATTTATTACTTCCTTTACATTAGCTAACTAACAGGTACTAGGACGAGCATTCTATCTATTTAAGATAACATGAAAAGCAACAGGGTGATTTAGATGTGTCCAGCAGATGAATCTCAAATATGAAAAAACACCTTATAGATTTGACTGATGGTTCATATTCATTGAAAAAAATTTTTTGATGCATAGTTTTGTAATATTCGCGTTCAGTATGGGAAGAGTTTAATACTTTTAGAACTTCACTACTTGATAGTCAATGTTACATGATCATATTTAATATCTTCATGAGTAATCAATCCATTCAGAGATAAATATCTAGATTTTATCAATTTATGAATATTTAGTCATAAAATTGTCATATCTTATTAAATTTAGTAAACCGTTAAGTGTTGAACTATTCTGACTAATTTATGATTCTCCATACCTAGGTTTCATTTTTGTCTGGAACTATCAAAGTTAAATATCTATAAATTCGACAGAAAGTATGGATTTGCGAAGATTTGAAGTTGCATCACTTCAAGTTGAAAATGTAAACGTCGTTAAATTGCAACTCAACTAGATAATCATAAATGGAGTACGATTTTCCTAGAAGTTGAGAATACATTTAGCCAATGGAGTTTCTACAACTATGAAACTGTCTGTCTATTGACTGATGTCGTTCGAAACTAAGTACATGTTAATTTATTATTGAATAATGCCATTTTATTCATACTAATGAACTTTATCACAGTGCATTCTAATCAGTTCCGGGTGAGAAACAATCTTATCGGTTAATATCTGTTTTAGTATTAGTGCAAGATATAATTTACTAAACAATAATGATAAGCGTTAGAATTAGCCGATCACTGACTGTGCTAGAAACATAGGCATGTTAATGCACTGGTTTATGACTTGAACTTTTCACTTTATACTTTATGAAAGTCATTCTCAAGTTGGTATCCTGAAAAATCATGGGAAAACTCAGTTATTTTAGGTATTTCGGTCTTACACTTGCGATCATCGAAATTCTGTGATTTTAAATGCTTAATGTAGTTATGATAAGCACACTATTTTTAAAACACCTGAGTCACAAACATAGGAGAAATGGTTTTGATCCTAAAATGATGGGAAAGTTAGCTGAGAAACTGGTAGAAATACACCAAGTATAAAAACAACACTATTAATGTTAAGTTATTGGCCGAAAGTATTGGCCTCAATAATACTCCGATGCTTAACGAAAGCTCGTGAAGAGCGGACTAGAGAAAACCAGACCAGATATTCACACTATATCAGATCCTAAAACAAGGACACACGTTCAGACACCCCACAATAGTAGTATTTCTCGACCTTTAAGCGGCGTTCGACCCCGCTGACCGTGAGGTTTGTGGCAATCTATCATTGAATGGTGAACCAAAGAATTACATTAAACTTATACAAGATGTCTACTCGAAAACCACTGGTAGAGTAAGAGCTTATGGCGAACTGTCATCGAAATTCATTACTTCAAGTGGTTTCCGTCAGCGTTGTCCACTCTCCCAATTCTTACTTAACTTTGTCGTAGATATGCTCCTAGAGTTAACATTATCATCGTCTGACTGTTATGGATTGCACTTTTTACCAGGAAACACGCTTGCTGACTTAGAATATGCTGATAACATAGTTCTATTCGGTGAAGACGCTGAAAAAATGCGGTCTCCTAGCCACCTTTAATCACAATGCAGCCATGTTCGGGTTGCGGTTCTCCTCGTCGAAATGCAAATTGTTCCTTCAGGATTGGCTTGTGTCGGCACCTGAACTAGTTATAAAGAGTGAAGTAGTTGAGCGTATTAACCGCCAGTCGAGCCTTCTGTGTCCATGCTGAGATCTCGTGTCACACCAGGTCATCAGCATTAATGAGACTCCCGAGATAATTGAAGCGGTTAATGCGCTAAACGAAATTCATGAGATTTACGTAACCTATGCAGTTTTTAGTCATATCAACCATCAATTTCAAAATACTGCTTGAGAATATACAACATGAAATAATCACCGAATTCCGCAGAAAAACATCTGAAACAGATCGACCATTATTTACTAACCTTAGGAATAACTTGTGGTGACTCTAGAATTGATTTTAATGAGTACAGAGGAGAGTCGATTTCCGACTCCAAGTCATTTCCCAACGCAGATTTTGTGATACAACTTTTTCCTTTGTGCACATGAACAGATTCAAAAAAGCTTTGTGGAGATGAGCATAAGGAGTGACCAGTACATCTGCGAGAAAGTTCATTCCCGGAATGTGAATCATCAAAAATAAATTCAGCATCAGTTACATGGGGCGGCTACACCAAATCTTGGCACAAATCATTAAGTCGCTGACAACTGGACTGAGCAGTTTTATTTGATGTAGACTACCTGATTGGAATCTGTGAGATAATAGTGACCGATGGTTAGAGAATTTGAATGACGTGACTTAAAATCGTTTGCAATGGCGCAGGTGCATTCATTCTTCGTCTTCTGTCAAATTCTAGTCTTCTGAATTCTTCATCGCCCTTATCTTTCTATTTTAAATTTATTTCTCTAGATCATACTTTTCCAATCATATCTTCGAACCCTAATCTCCTCGATTACTGCTACTCCTTCTACTGCCTCTGCTACAATGGGATTTTAGTTGACAATTGCATATCTGAGCTCATGTGATATTGCCACTTGCACTGATGTATGTATGTATGAAGTTCTACCTTGTAGCTGACGTATTGACTGAAATTTTTACGGAAACACTTTGTTGAAATTCTTGATTATTTATTGTGTGGAAGCTCCAAACCTTAATACTTTAACCGTATTAGAAATGAAAACTGTTTTATATGAAATAATATCTAGTGTAATAATGGAGAATGTTTGTTATCTACTTCAAGTCTTTTGGTGAGAATATCATTATTGTGACTTATATTTAATATAAATATAAGGCATGTAACCTTAGTATTTTTAGGAGATATTCGACTGAGTATAAATACCGGATTCTCGTTTTAATTGTTTTATCTCATAAAGAAAACATTAATATTTATTGGTTATGCTTTCTATCTCTTATTTATTCCAATTTTAGACAAATAAAAGTGATGGCTCCAAAGTCTATCTGTGTAGATTATGTGGTTCTAGCTATAAACACAAAAAATCACTAAATAAACACTGGAAAGATAAGCACTTTACAGAATTGAGTAATGCTGAGGGAAATTTTCAAGGTGATGGAGAATTGGATGAAGCTGATGATGGAGATGGAGATGATTCTGAAGGTGATGGAAAGCCATTGAATAGTAGTTATAATACTCCGCTTTCATCCATTGAGAATAAGCCGAATAATGCTTATTTGGAGGGAGGAGAGAATTATGCATATAAGAGTCCTGGTTCAATGGGTCAAAGATATAGTATGATGATTGAGAATACTGAGAACTGTCCACCGGACCCAAGTCACTTAATGCTTCGGAGGACGCCAAATGAAAAAAATGGAAATGATTTGAAAAGTGAGAACGTTGTTAGTAGGTCTAATACGATTGCTGAGGTGCACAAATCTGGTCGTCTGTCGGTACCAGGAGATTATCCAAATCGGTTTCCTGTTGGTCGTAAGCGTTTGTCGGTTGTACCTTGTTCTTCTCCAGTGGTTCAACCAAAGATGCTCAGTCGAGTTTCTGAATTTGGAGTGAAACGTGTTCGATCACCTGACACTGATTATATAAATATGAATAGCAAACGAAGACACAGTGTGCTTTCACGTGGGAGAGCTGATTCTACTATTGATGTGAAAGAGAAAATTTCTGAATCGTCATGTTTTTCAAACAGAAACACTCCAGATGATGAGATGGCATCGAGTTGTACGACAAGTCGGTTAGGCTTGAATTCTGTAGATCAACATGCGAGTGAAATTACTTCAGACGAAATGGAACCGCTTGACTTATCAGTTGTGAAGCTAATGGCGACTGAAACTGACTGTGGACGACAGTTAAACGAGTTTGATTTTAGCCCTAGTAGCACAGTAGATGTGGTCAAAACCGATGTTGGCACTATGAGTAATTCAGAGAAGATAGAACAGGAAAAATTAGTATCGGTAACGTCGAATGCCACTTTATTGGAGAATAGTGGTAAGAACAGGAAGAGAGAAAGTCGTGTTAGTCGTACTTTGTTGATTGGGTTGTTGCAAACAGCACTGAGTACTTTGGAGAATGAAGTTGACGACAAGTTGGGTGAATCATTCGAATCTAGCTTTGAGTTATCTGCTACATCAGCTAGTCTGCTTTTAGCTGTTGGTAGTTTGTTGGTTACTTTATCTGAGAAGAGGTCGGGTATGTGTTCTGTTGTTGCTCCGGTCGAAGCATATGTGAGTAAGAATAATGTGGATGAAGTAACTAATGGCAAATCAAATTCAGGTTGTGATGGTACTGGTATGTTGACAACAGGTAGTGAAAAGTTGGTCGTTAGTTCTGGGAATTGTTTTCAAGTATCTTCCAGTGAGGTGTTTCCTCGTCATGTTGATGATCATTCGCATTCGCAAGATGATTGTACTTCTAGATCGCTAGAAATGCGGAGGTTTGGTGGGAAGGAGGAAGATAGTTGTGTGGATCGTGTCGTAGAATGCAGGAAGGATAGGGGATCACTTTCTGCATATGATTATGGTATTAATGAGAATGAGATTTCATTTGAAGCTCTGGATAATAGTTCATCAATAACAGGTATCGAAGGCATGAAGAAGTGTGATGGGTTGGAACCAGTGATCATTTGTCCTGTATGTAAATTTGGTGCGCGTTGGTTCAGTGAATTGCGTGCTCACATGGTGAATCATTCTGAGCATCGAATGTTCGGTTGTTGTTATTGTCATTATCGAGCTAAGTGGAAGTGGGATGTTGCGAAACACATGCGCCGATGCCCATTGGGTCGTCACGTTTCTCATTTACAGAATGAGGCATTATTGCGTATAGTCAGATACTATCCACCTCCAGAGGATGATATTTTGTATAGTTACTTTCCGCAGAATGGTTTTCCAGGTGTTGGAGTTGATCATCCTCCAACACCACCGATAAATTCAGGGAAGCGTAGTGGTTATGAACGAGTTCATGTATACGATTGTGAAGGTAAAGATTGTTCATTAGTTCCGAGTCGTTTGTATTGTGAGAGTGAGGGGAGAGGTGTGGTTAAGGAGTTATTTTGTGAGAAGAGACTGGAAAATGGGAATGGTGGAGTGTCAACTTCGGTATCCGATGCTAACAATGTACATCATTGTTATGCGCTGGAAGAAAGTGAGGTTAAAGTTGTTGGTGACTGTGAAGAAAATGAATCTGGTGGTTTACTAATAGTAGACGAAGATGGTGAGAATGTTGAGAAGATTTCGGAAGTGAGTAGTGATGCAGTAAGTATAGATGGGGCGAGAGAGCGTGTTTGTTCTACGGGTGACCGATGTAGTCGACAAAACGACGATGAGGTGAGTGTTTATATGTTTATACTTCATCCCGGTAATTACAATAATATCTGCTTTTAGTTAATATTTTGAATTTAATGTGGAATAACATGAGTATAAGAATGATAACTTTTGATTGTTTATGTGTGATGACGTATTTATTTCTGTTGTCGTTAGATGTTTAGCCACATGTAACTCGGGAGTCATTATTATTTATTTAAACACAAACATTGGTACATATGAGTACCAAAATAAATGAGACGAACGGAAGTAATGTATAATATTGAAGGGTCTTCGTCCCACTAAAATATATATTTTTCATTTATCTTGTTTTGCTAATTAAATATAGTGTAAGGATTTTTTAAATTAGTGGCGTAGCTAATGTTGTGTTTACTTTTGTATTCACTTATCTATAAATTATTGGGAAACATTTTGCTGATTATTATCCATTTCTTATTACATATAGGATATTAATAAATCAGATCTCATCTGTCGAGTACGTAAATGTCCATTATGTGAATTTCATTCAACAGATACAATTGAATTCCAGACTCATTGGAATTCACACTGCCCATATACGAATGAAACAGTGAACCCTACCAAGAGTTGACGTTACGTAGAAGAATTATTCATCGGGAAACTCTCTTTTCTTTATTTCATTTAATTGAAGTCTACAGTTCAGATGTATATACAAATATTGTTGTTAATTTAATTGCTTTTCTGGTATTTTTATGTGGATTAGAAGTCATTGAATCATTCACATTTCCATGTATAGTTTTGATTTCCTGTAGTTTATATACATACTTTTCATGAAAATCTGTAATTTCATTATAGTATTTTGATTTTTTGTTTGTACACTTACTGAACTATCGAAAAATTATTGCAAATAGGGCTTATTTTTCACTTTTTACAATTAACATTTGTGAAACTCTTCATTTTGAATCATGTTTTTGATTAATGGTTGTTTATTTACTTGTCTTTTGAGAGCGACCAATGAATAAACACAATTTTAAGTGCTATTATTATATTACACGATTTTCATCTCCGTATGTTAAATTTAAGGACATTAATTTTTATTCAATATAATATATGTTACAAGATAATTTAGGTTACCAAGGTTCGGTGAATATGTCATAACTTGTAATGTTCAGTTGGTGGTTTTATCACATTTACCCACCGTAAAATCAGTCTTTGCTTGTTAATGTCATTACACATCACAGTTGTTGCCTTGATAGTAATAAATTGTAGCGTAGAGGAGTAGTTATTCCTAACTATTGATCAATCATGCACATTCACTAGACTTTCGAGTTTTAATTCAGATTCCGTTGTCAACTTTCAGTTCCAACAAAATCACTCAAAACATTTCTGTCATTTGTAAAAAATATTTATATGATAAATGTTCAGGAAACCTTACGGTTAAACCTATTTTTATACTTCGAAGAGCAAGGAAACTACTTTCAAATGTACACGAGTTTTCTGGTAAGCTATCAATCGCGAATTTCAGCTCATAGCACAGTAGTTTCGTTTTGAGGTTTATGGCTTGGTCTATATTATTGATCTGCATTCTTCACTTGTGTCAATAATAATAGTTATAATCGCCTGATTTATTGTCTAATTTCCGGTTACCGTAAATGATCCTTAGCACAAGATTTGGGATATTGTAACCCATTTTTCAGTGATATTTTTCACTATATATATGCAGTTTTCTTTTGTACCTTCGAAAGACAGGCTGTGGAAAAATTACCCAGGCACTATTCTTCGCTTTAATTTCTGACATTTCAATACAAAACGAGCTCTAAACACATCACAGGAACGTATAACTTCAAGATAAAATCAATAGTCATTCAGTTACTGCAAATCTAGAATTCTGTAGTTGATTCCAATAATTGTATAAACGATAGTATGAATAACACGTGTAAAATAGGTATAGTAAGACAGACCGCTTTCAGGTCACAAGTGCTTTTCTTCCACCTTCACAGGAATCTGAGTAAGAATTATTCATACACCATATTCTTAACACTATCATATGCAACTGAGTAAACTTTTAAGTAATTTTAGCTGTCACTGATGTTCATGCCTCAAATACTTCCAAGTTATATGATTAGAAGGTAAATCCCATTTCCGCTCGTGTCGTCAATCCAAACGAATGTAAACTCTTAATTTCTTTTGCCTCTTTCGACCAGTATTCATAGAAAGTTTAAGTTGATTCATAGATCATCATAAGTGCTGATCAGTTACTACTCATTTTAGTTACTTTAGGGTACCTTTTTTATGGAACACAGTTAGTGCGATGAAAGACCGTCTAAGTAGCCTGGCAAAATTAACTGATCACATTTTGTAGTACGAACACCTTATTTATCCAACGTAAAATTTCTAGGTACACAACTGATAAGTTTGTGATCAAACGATCATAGCTGATCATCATGGTTTTGGGTTAACTAGCCTAGTAACTATTTCATTCAAAATTTCATTAAGGTAGGTGTTTTTCCATCGAAAACTTCAGAGCATCTGAATGTTACCAAATTTTAACCTCTTTGGGATTAATGTGTAGTAGTTTTTGTCAATCAGGTTTTAACATCGCATCAGTCATGACGCTTTTGAAATCTTTGAAAATAGCAAACGATTTGGTGAGGATGAACTTGTCTGAAGTTGTAGATTCGAATGTATTAGATAGTAGTGAAGTCAAAGTTAGGCATTATTTTCTGAAATTTAATTACATACTAAGTTTAAAACAATATGTTTTCCGGTTAGCGTTGTTTTAGCGAATTAGTTTTCTACGGGACGGCGTCGCCAACCCCATGTCTGACCCTCCTCCTTTATCCGGGCTTGGGACTGGCAGTAACCCCAGAGGGGCTTCGTGCGGGGGTTTAAAACAATATAATAAGTGTTAAATAAACAAACGTTATGATGTTGTCTGAAATAGTCCTGTTTTTAAATCGCTTTATTTTCTCAATCAATTATGTTATTGTAATAGATGCATTGTTGAATATTTGTTCACACTTCACATGATCAGAGAAAAAGGCATTCAGAAATATTTAAGCGATTGCGATGGCGTATCACAAATTAGTTGGATATTCTTTCAAAGGACTTATGAAAAAATTAGATGGATCGCGTGACAGAAATTTTCAAGAGATGAAATCACAGTTTAATAAAACACAAACCAGGTTCGTAGACACCTAAAGCCAAAATAATTCATGGTTACTTACACTATTCGTTAGCTTAAGCACTGTATTTAACATTTGATATTGATCTAATAATGTGGAAGAACTCTTTTATTCAACTCATCTGCTTCAGCAAACAATCAGCTTTATCCAAACAACTAATTTTCAGATGGAAATGAAAACGAATACAGTTACCAATCTACCACATGCGACGTTTCTACCCTTATCTCTTTTAGGTATTACGTGATACTATTTATTGTTATTAAGTAGTTTGAGCAATTTATTTCCAAGATGTGAATGCTGTAACAAAAGAGCATCTCGAACTCCCGGTTTCTGTTTTGACTGTATTTCCCTTTTATCTAATCGCCTAATTTTGTCGTGCCGATTGCTGTTTAGAATAGTTTTCATTATTAACTGTTTCTGTAAATGACAATCATTGACTAATTCATTTTCGTTATTTGTTTAGATTAATATTTGACATGCGACATTTTTCAGTTCACATTGAGTTATGCTATTTTGTTCTTATCTTAACATTTGATCTGTTCGATTTTTTCATCAAAGATATGACAAAAAAAACTCATTCACCTCATTATTCTAGGTATGAATAATTATAATTCTTTTATTGTTCGTATAATGATTTTGTACATTTGGACTAATTTCATCTTTGCGTTTCATTATTTCCATGTACAACTCAGTCAGTGACAAATAATCCTTGTAAGGTTTCTATAATCATTTACTTACTTACCTATGCGTGTTACTCTTAATAGAGCATAGTCCGCCGACCAGCACTTTCCAACCAAATCTGTTGTGGTCTCTACTTTTCACTTTTTCCCACTCTCTATTCGGTCTTCTCATGTCTCTCTCATTGGGTTCTTTGGTATGTCTCTTTTCGTTTGACCCTGAGAAATCCAAGTTAGGACTTAACTCAGTGCTCAGTTGGGAGAGTTCTGCAATGCATATCTTACGAACCTACAGCGCTTCGTGCTGATTTTTCCCTGAGCTGTAATCTTGTTCGGTCTCTACCACAGTAGGTTGTTACTGACAGTGTTTATCATACTTTATAGCAAGTTTCTTTGTTGTATCGTATATTTGTTTCGTGTTTCCTTTAGTGTAGCTTTTTCTGATATCATTATCAGACCTTCCACAAATTTACGTTAGTCAGCTTTAATGCTTCTCTTCACCTGTTTTTTGTTTCTGAGTATTTGGCCTGTGCCTTGGCTTTCTCCGCTCTTGTCCGGCTGTTATTGATTGCTGTTTTTCTACATTTTTAGTTTCTTGAATTTTATCCAGAGTATTAGCAGAGATCTATTCCTTGTGACAGCGGTTCTTTTGGCCCAAAATCTAATGACATGTTGAAGTGATTGCTTCCTCACATTTGTGAGTTTCTTACTACCTATCATCAGTTTAATGCTTTCATATGCACTCTACTGACTTACTATTGATTCTACCTTGTTATCTACTGCCCCATTTATGACTAAAATATTCTAACACCTTCCTATCTGTTGGAATAAACAACTTTTCTTCTCTACATCCTAAATGCTTATAATTTACCTAAAAACTCTGACTTTTCGCTATAGCAATTGACAGTATTGCATTGATGCCCTATCATTGGTCATAAGATGTAACACCTTGACAAACTTGTAAAATGGAACTTGAAGAAATAGTAATTCTCAACATGGTGTGAAGTATAGAGCCTCTAGTAGGATATAAAATATTGTCTTATAGTTATTTCAACTGAAACTTAAAACGCAAAAACAGGGAGTGTAGAGTTTATGGTGGAATGCTTCTACGAAGAGAACGCAATTGGTGAAAAAGAAACATTTATTATTGTACCCAAATGCAACAATATCTATCAGTCACTTACAACGTAGTACTTCGTACGAACGTACATCAGTTCAGGTTGCAACACCCCATCACCACAGAGACGCAACTGTCAGTTCAAATCCCATAGTGGTAGACATAGTAGAAGTATTAGCTGTAATGGAGAACATTAGGGTTCGAATATATGACTCGAGAAGAATAATCCAGCGAGATAACTTTAGGAAGAGCAAGATAGAGATGATGAGGAATTTAGAAGATAATAATTTGAGAGAACACAAAGAATGAATACACCTGCACTATTGCGAACGGTTTCCAGCTATGTCATTCAAAATCTCTAACCACCAATCACTGTAATCTGGCGGACCCCAACCAGGTAGTCTAAACTTATCGAAATGAATCAATCCACTAGTCAGTGACTTCATGGATTTCTGCCATGTTTTGGTTTGGCCACCCGTAGCTTTCTTCCAACCTACTCCTACACCACAAAACATAGCTCGAAGAGGCAGTCAGTGGTTAGGCATACGTAACACATGTCCTAAACACCTAAACTTATGTAGTTTCACTACTTCATCTATTAATCTGACATCCCTAACTAGTACTCGTTTCCTAAAGACAGCATTGTTTACTCGGTTGTCCCAGGATATACGAGCGATGCTTCTAAGACACCTATGACACAAGACAAGTCACCTACGAACATTTTCTACTCTTAACGGCCATGTTTCGCATACATATAGGAGAACGGAGCGAACTGCTGCGCAGTACATTCGTCTTTTGGTTAACAAGCAGATATCTCGCCTACGCTATAGACGGCGTAAACTGGCAAAAGCAAATTGAGCTTTCTATATCCTCGCTGAGATTTCGTCAGTCACCAGGCTATCAGCACTGATGAAACTCTCCAGATAAGTGAAGTGATGAACACGCTCGACTAATTAACTCTTTATAACTAGTTCAGGTGCCGACACAAGCCAATCCTGAAGGAACAATTTGCATTTCGACGAG